ATAGAGCAAAACCGTAAAATGAAACGCTTTGTGCGGGAGCCGCTTTCTGAAATATTTTTTAGGCATAATGTTTGTAAAAGCTTTTCATAGCCACCCAACATCATGCCGCCAAACCACCCATCCCCGTTGATCGGTAGTTGGAAATTAAACAAATGAGCGCCAGTTGCGAACAGGCAACAGCGACTGAAAACTGCTACTATACCCATAACAAGTAATGGTACAAAAATAATCCTGCGATCTCGGGAAGATAATGCCTGCTAGAAACATCGCAAGCTTCGTCCGTTACTTCAATATGTTTGATTAACCGTCCGTGAGGCAAATCCATCCTAAATCTATTATCGACCAAGGAAAAAGCATTCGACAGCATGAGAAGACAAAGTGAAATCAGCTTCTGCCAGATCCCAAGATATGCAGTGCAAATCACAAGATCCCAATGCTAATGTTCAAATCCCAAGATCTTGGGACAAATCCCAAGGAATGGCATCGCTGGTCTGAAGCAGGGGGGTTCGCTCCCGTGCCTTCAGCATTACGAAAAATGGAAACAACCCGTGAGCAGCATCAGCTGCTCACGTATATGTTCAAGGAAAACAACATGTAATGGACTGCTGACGATGGCCCTCTCCACCAATCAGCGCTCGGCATCTCGAGCGCTGATTGGCTGGTAGCAAACGCGTCATATGTGGGTCTCATTTTTTTGCGATCAGTGAACGCGTTATTTAATACACAGTGGCCTATGGAGAATGGCACGCGGAACTGAAGGTCAGTGTTATATTGCTTCGTACATGCGAATGGGGGTATTTGAGTGGCATTTGACACCATTTTCGAAATCTACAGTGAATTTCTGATCGACTCATGTATATATTTTTATGAATTTGATAGTATTAGTGCTACATAGTCGGTGTTTTATGTTGGTGTTGTTTCTCTCGACCTTTGTCTTGGACTTTTATCATATCTTTTCTCGAAAATCCTTGCCATAACCAAGTCTAAACTGTATCTGTATAATAGATAATTTGTGTTGAATATGAGGAGAAAGTAGTTATGACCGTTCTGCCCATCAAACTGCCAGAAGGTGTTCTTGTAAGGTGATTGAAACTTCAGTACGGGTTGCAGATGTGGGTTTGACATTAGCATTGTTGTTGTAACCCCACTTGCTCTAATAAAATGGAAACATGGGGTTATGTACCTACTATTGCACAGCCTGGTATCAAGCTGGTTGATATATGGAGGATAATGAAAGCATAAAAACTTTTCTTAAGTGAAAAGGAGTGTTGCGTCTTGTGACTTTGTCAAGTCATTTTAAATCAAATGATTGTGATTGTAACTTTTACTTCAATTAATTATTGTTGCTAGTTTTGACCTTTTTGATCATCAAGTTTTATGTGTACCAATTTCATATGCTTGTGTAATGTCTGTGCGGCTTTGTGCAGTGTGCGTGTCTTGAAACAAACCAATTTATTTTGTACCTTTTTGTACTTCAACAAATGTATGTCAAAAGACAAAAATGTTATGTCTATTATCATTGACACTACTACAGCTAACTTTGCCTATATTCCTATCTTTCAGAGGCATTCTATTCAATCTGCTTTCCAGTGCAGTACCAAGGAGGCTGCAACTGAAACTCGCACAAAGGCAATCAAGTGTCACTTCATCAGCCTACAGTAACAGCCCATCTGTAATCTAGATATGGATGAAGTGGCATTAAAGAACAACCAATTCAAACAAGAAAAGATTGTATTTTGTTTTGGACTATTTTTAAGCATAACAGAACACTACACTTGCTGCTTTTTATGTTTGCCGTGTGTCCAGTTTTGAATAATTTAACTATGAAATGCTTTTGCCCACTATTCTCTTTAGATAACCTTCCTTTGTAATGCATTTTGAGCTTACGTGCATGATGTAGGCATATTTTCCTTGGCTTCATAAAACTACTTGCAAGCTTTTGTTATGGACATTGGTGCTAATATGATGCTTCAAATGTGTCTAGTAGTTGGTGAAGGGAGAAGAGAAGTAGGACAGCTGATAGCTTTTACCAAAAATATGTGCTTGTCTGCACTTCGGGCTGTTCCATCATATGCAACCTCTTTTTACCTCCTTGAGTTAAAAACACCTCATCTTTTGTTTCTTTCCTGTGTGCCAATTGTTTCCGTGGTGCTATAAATGTCAAGTTTGAAGTTGGTATCTAAGTGAGCAGAATGTGCATTATTTCAGTCCGTCTTGAATCATTCGTCTTGAATTATATCCCTAACTGACATCCTGTTATTTGTCCTGCAATGTATGTGCCTGACCCTGTGTCCGCCCTTACCTCCGGCTTTAGCCTCAAACCAGCCCTGCTGAGCTCTGTCGCCGGCGCGGTGTGTCGCAACGTGCTGTTTCTCCACTTCAGCAGACAGCTGCTAGGAATCGTCCTGTGCCATGCGCCATGCGACACAGCAATTGTAAGCTTCAGGTCACATTCGGACTGATTGGCTCCGCGTATGTGCATCCGGCCGGGTGCTAGTCGATATCAGGGACGTGGGTCGCCGGTCGGACTGTTGTGGCGGCGTGCACTGTGGTGGTTGAAGTTGTTGTATTTCTGTCAGTGAAAAGCATTAATACATAACCGTGGCCGCAGCCCAATGTTATTGTGAATTTCAGAGGGAGTGGCCAGTCAGGAGGGCCCCATGTGGGTATGGATCCAGTGTCCAGTGGGATTGGCTAAGATTTCCGGCGATTGATAAACGCTTCTATGAAAGTAAACCTATTGAGTTATGAGGGGAGGTCACGTGACGGACCTGACCTTACTAAACTCTTGTGAAAACACGACACATACGAACGATAAGAAACCGACAGCTCTTCTTTCTGCCAAGTGTCATCTTTGTGTGAAGGATTTCTTGGCACTGAGTGTTCAGAAATTGCATTGTTTTTGGACTGTGCAGAGGCTCACGAGCGGCAACATAGGTCAACAACCTGACGTACCTTAAATATGCGACCTGTACCAGAAGCTCCAGCTTGATCAAAAGATTGGACGAGTCAAATTTCAGCTCTTAAGCTTAAAAGAATTTTGAGCTATCTTAAAAACCGTCAGTGTGGCACCATATCGCCTCCCCGCGCGGTCGGAAGGTAAAAGTTCGCCGGCTCTAACTAAACAAATACGCGTCGCATCGCAAATTCATTGACGGCGTTCGAAGCGTCGTTCAATTTACTTTCGAAACATATCCTAACATTAACATTTAACTGCCTAGCGCAATCTCCAACAAGCTGAAGTTCCGTGCACTCATCCTCATACAGTGTTAGCGGCCGCCGGCCGCCGGCCGCTGACCCACATTCGCGTCATCAGGGAATGCTGCAGCTAATTTATTGTTTCCAACTTTTTTCCCGGAGCGTTCTACCTGGTTTATATAGCCTTGGTCTGAAGTTACACATTTGTCTATTCTGCGCAGCATTTGTGTTTGCCATTTACCGCACCAATGTTCGCCAACGGTGAAGACTTTTCCTTACCTGCTCACGAAACGTCACACACGACATGACGTCACCCGAAGACGTCATCAAAAAGTCCAGCTCTTAGGCGTGTCCACACACAGTCTGGATAGCATACAAAAACGCGATAGAGTACATGACGTCGAAATACGAGATGCGGAGCAACGAAGTGATACACGGTACGGCACTCATGGTGGTGAAGACGGAGGTCTCGGAGTGGCGTCGCGGTGTTACGGTAAGTCGTCACGTAAAGGGTCCGGAGTTGCAGACTGCCGAGTGACGATGGCGCTGTCGCTGATGTAACTAGTTGCTGGTTCCGCGGCGGCAGAAACCACAGGTAGTTACTGACACTGATCGTGCTCGCGTGCACGGCACTGGCACTGGGCGGCTTTAGCAGGGACGCGGTCAAAACAGTGACACAGGCTAGGCGGGGAGAGCCGCAGCTCGCGTGCGCACAGTGGCGCGGCAGGGAGACACCGGTTGGTCACGTGACTCGGAAACAAAAATCAGCTGATAGAGTGGCGGAATCGCCGTAATCAAACACGAATAATTCCGGACGATAGAGCGGCAGTATATGAGTTTTCTTCACGATAGGCAAACATTGCAATGTTTTATCATTTTATGATCAAGAAACGTTCATAAACCATATATTTCTTCGATGATTACTGCCGCAACCGACGTGCTCATATCGTAGCCAGCGCATAAAGCTGTGCTTTGCGATATTAAATGTAAAGAAAAACATTCTATATCTTCTTCAACCTTCTACTTACGCTTTTATATATTACGACAGCGACACCATACGGCCTCACCGTTCCGTGCTTCTATCCTCAGGATACTGAAATCCTTCTCCTCCACGCCGCAACCCCCCTCCGGGCTGGACAGGCAACTTTATCTCATGCGGGCTGTTCCCTTGGAGCGGCACCGCTGCTCCCGAGGGAGCGTACCCCGTAGCCGGGTGCAGTGAGTGCCTTGGGGCTGGGTGGCCTGTCCTCTGGACGGGCTCAGCCCCGGCGACTCACTAGGGTGCCTGCCCAGACCAATGTCTCCCCCTATATCCTATTATCCTCCCGGCTCTGAAATGGTCGCATTGGACCGAAAGGGCCTAACCCAACAAAACAAAAACAAAAACATACGGCCTATCGACGCTATGCAACTCCATGGAGTGTCCGGCCGCACTCTTCCGAGTGTGCCGAGATCAGAGGCGGACCATCCGAGGCACGTCCAGCTGCACTGCCCGGTCGCTGGGAGGGCGACACCTAGCGCCGCTCTGGCCGCTCGCTTCCGCGCACAACTAAGCTACCTGGCTACGCCTGTGGGAGGGGAGGAGCAAAACCAACAACAGTCTGATGAGCCAATGGAGTCTGCGAGCCGCGCCAATCAGCGCCCTTCCGCGCGCAGACGGGAGCTAGAGCTATTCATCTCCTTTCCTGTTTTCGCTGGTCCGCCAGTCACCAGCACCGTTCCGTACTCTCGATCGTAGCCATTCAGCCGTGTTGTCCTATACAACAACAGTCAGCAGCCTCGGATCGCGCCAGTCGGCCGCCAGAATCTATATTATTTATTTGCCGTACAGCATTGCAAGCGTTACAGTGTTTGCAGCCGGGTGTAATCAGTAGTTGACACATTTATGTTTTGTATCACAAAATTTAAAAATTCATTGAATAAATGAAATATATTCACTTTAATTTGCATACAGCTTTTGATTCTTGACGCAGATTGTTAGCCCTTGCTACATCAAACAGCCAACATCCATATTTCTATTTCCAGAGCTGCAGTGCTGGACACCGAAAGTACATTATGTTCTAATAATTCAATCCAAAGGCACATAGATTTCACGACAAACTTCTAGGTTCCAGAGCAAGTATTTTCTCGCCAGAAGCGCGCGATTTAATGCAGCTGGCGCGCTCACAATAACTAATATCGCGCTCGCCAAAACCTGCCGGTTACAGCCACTCACACCTTACTTCCAACCTCCGTCCCATTTATCATTTATTAGCATATCGAGACAGAATGAGACTACGACATAATCGTCAAATTACATAACACAAATTGCGGGACGTCATCGGAGAGCCCGTTAAAATACCAACCCCAATCTCGGCCAACACCGTTGGGACGGGGCGGGGGGGGGGGGGGGGGGGCGGGAAGGGCTTGAAGCTGGAAGACGTATCGGCGTATCCTTCATAGACACGGGTGTTTCGCAACGCTGGAGCGTCGAGCCGAATTCGTCTCAATCGCCGCACTAACACAGCAGCGCTGCGTAGCGCGCTGCAGTACGCTGCCGTGAAACAGGGCCCAGGAGTCGGATGGTCTCGGCGGCGGCGGCAGCGGTGACGGCGCTTGTCACCGTGGAGCCCTTGAACGACGCCGTCAGCTCGAGCACCGGCGACTAGTGACCTGTAACAGAGCGAGTCGCGTCTCGTCACGTCGTCACCTTTCAGTCGCGACGGCCGTTATATAAACAGTTACTGAGAACATCACGTACCAGCCACGGCGACCGTCACATTACAGTCACGGTGATCGTCACACAGCAGTCACGGCGACCGTCACAGGTCACGACGGTCATCAAATACCAGCCACGGCGAGTATGACTCATAGTCACAACGTCTTCTGTCGCACACTCAGTCATAATTACAGTACATTAGCCTGTGCATAAACATCTCATCCAAGAAGTCCAAGCCCGATTATTACCCGCGTGGGGCTGCGGTTTGGTGGCGTGCGGCGACCGGCCCGACGGTTCAACGCCGGTGCTTACAGCGGGTCGATCCTGACCAGTTCAACTGGCAGCTCACCGACACGGACTGGACACCTGTGTTAAAGCAGCAGAGACCTACGGAGAAGTGGGAGGAATTTCGCAGGATTTTCCTATCACAACTCGACACAGTGGCCCAGGCGTCCACAACTCGACACAGTGGTGACCAAGGCGCAGCTGCGCCCCCCCCCCCCCCCGGTTCACACAATTACTGACCTGGAGATAATGTGATGGTTTCTGAACAATGTGGCTTGATACTGGCCACCACACTCTACAACTTCCTGCCAGGTGACGTCCTTCAGCTGGATCGCACCGCTGTCTTCAGAACCGCCGACAGCAACGAGCCTGTTGAAAGATAACATGCTCAGAACTAAAAAACCACAAAGCATACAATGGAAACGACTAAGCTGGCCACAGACAAAGCATACAATGGAAACGACTAAGCTGGCCACAGGCACGGTACACAACGGCGGTCTTTTATGCTAAGAAAGTTCCATCGCCACAAAAGATTGCAAATGGCTATGTTATAAAAAACTCAGATATCACATATCTAGTCTGATAATGGATACCTGGCCGCACGTCATGTGGATGGCAGCATGGCTTGAGCTGTGTGCTTTGGCATTTCCATGGTGAGATTGGACCCCATGCATGGCGCTGGTGTTTCGTCTGCACGTGCATGTCTGCATCTACTGATCTGGGGTGGTCCAGTTTCCAAGATCTCTTGAGCGTGCTGGGCTACTAAGTTAATAGGTATATTACACTACGCATTCGCGATTGTCCACAGTGATAAAATTGTGGTAAATGGATTTTCTCCTCAGTCCTCTTCTTTTCCTTCTTCAACCCTTATTTCTCACTGCCGTTTGGCTGAGGCACCTTGAGGCTTGATGCAGAACGAGAATGCCCATGTCGTGTGGCACACCTTTGATGAGCGTCTGTCCCAGCCAGCATCTGTTAGCAGTGGCTAGGTGACTGTGCATTAGCAGACCCCTCTGTCAAGCTGACTTGGCTCAGAAACTAGCAGGAGGTTGAGTGTGCATCCTACGATGGGTAGCTGCTCATCTATGTGGCTCTGTGACACAGGATCAGCCTGAGAGAGAAGAAAGCCAGTCAAGGCAGTAATGGGATGTTGTCAGACTGGCAAAATAGTAAGTACTATGCCACAAGTTAAAAATCAATTTAAAGTTTTGTTGGGTTGCCTTTCAAGTTTTGGCCCAAAAAGACTACAGAGTTGGAGGAATGATAGGAATTAGGGGGAGCTATTGGTATGGGCAAACACCCTGGTACAAGTCATTGGGGCTGAGCCCATCCAGTGAACAGGGCACCCTGTCCCTGACACTGCACCTGGCTCCGTGTATGCTCCTAGGGGAGCTTCCCACATGGGATGAAAGTGTCCGCCCAGCCCAGAACAGGGGGTTGAGGCATAGAGAAGGCTTTCTGGTATTCATATAGCAGGCATCTCACATGCTGCCACCCATTTGTGAAGTCGCTAGACTCTCCAGTTCTTGCGACATTTACACAAAATTCGCTTTTAAATCTAATCAAATACCCACCTAGTCTAACAGAACAAAACATTATCTAACCTGACCTAACCTTACCTACTAAACTACAACCTACGGTTTATGGTAAAGCTGGCGTCACCATCAGTTGGTAGGGTGTAGGGTATAGGCAGGGTTGGCATTTTTGCCGGCAAAAACTAGTTTATGCCATTTGCCGGTTTAAACCGGCTTTAACCGGCAAAAAGTGGCAAAAACTGGCAAAAACTAAAAACCATCACAATGATATGCCTAGACATGGATTTGAACATGAAACATTTTAAGGAGAATTCGGTGAAAGCTTTATGCTTTCAAACAGAAGTGACATTGACCGTTGAAGTGTTCTATAACTCAAAAACACTTTCATGGGCTCTCCATAAGGAACCAGTAAGACGCCTTTTGGGGTTGACAAATGAGCCAGTGCAAGAGTGAGTCCTGCACAATCAGAAGTGCGAAGGGGTATCTGCCACTGATATGCGCATGGCACCCTACCGTGGCAGCTTTGCCCCACTCTCCCCTACATGGAAATGCATTCTGTGGGGGATGTCTACCGACATGCATAGACATTTTAAGCAGGGATAAGTAATGAGGCAAACTTCAGAATGTTTGGTGCATCTCTATAACATCCAGAAATGCATTTGTACATTTCAGATCCATTCCTAACTAGAAAAGTTGTGGTTTGGGCCACCTGAGTTTTATCCAGTTTTGCCAGTTTTTGCCACCGGGATTTCTGCCAGCCGGTTTAAACCGGTTAAAACCACTGGCAAAAACCAGTTTTTGCCACCCCTTGCCAACCCTGGGTATAGGTTAGTATGTTAATAGCCAATAGGTAAGGTTAGGTAAGGTTAGATTGTTTTTAAATTTCAGCTTCCTTTTATCTACACATTTACTGGCTAGCGCTGAAGGTGACTCCAGCTTTATTGACACCCCGTCAAGTTCGTCACCAGGGTGGTGTTTCACCGGTGATAGCAGCACGCTGCTATTCTGCTGACGTCACACTTGTGGTTGTGTTGGAGCAATGTGAGTGGGGCTTGTTGATGTCTCCATGGAAACCTAATTTGACACATGAAATAGCAGCATGCTGCTATCACTATCACCAGTGAAACACCACCCAGGCCAAACTCGCACCACGCTACACTAAATCTGCGCTGCACGAAGCCAAATCCGCAACGCACCAAACCCACACCAGCTGAACAGCCCCACGAGCCACAATGACAACATCTCGTCGAAATTGCCATGCTTCGTCAACTGGCCGTTGGGGTAGAGCATACTTGGTAGGATAATTACCACAACTACAAGACAAATCAATCAAAACATCAACTACCTTTGGCCTTGGCCTAGTTACCTTTTACCTATTTTGATTTGAATCTCAACTGAACCACAGAATTCAGAAAAGGATCTAAAACACAAAATCACCCAGCCTGACAGGCAAAATCTCAGGGAAAAAATAAGTTTTAAAAAGAAGGTACCAAACCAACACCTACCTTCCATTATTTATAGTCACAGTGCCTTCCATCTTTACCTAACAAATTCAAATCAAATAACAGACCCCAATAGAGTTCAGTGTAACAGACAAAACAAATAACATAACCGATGACAAAATACAAATTAAAACAAAGGTGTTCTCCATCAGCAAACGAAATGCCGTTCAACCAATCAAATGCAAAGACATGCGTCTGCTAGCGACAGAGGTATATTAGCAGCATTTACAGTACAGTGGACAAAGCACAACTGAGGGTGGTCTGCGGTTTTCAATACCGAAATTCGTAATTTTCCCAAGTTCATCTTGTTTTATGACTCATATCAAAAGATAGAGAATTCTTTTATGTTAATTATTAAGCTTGAACTAGACACCGACATTGTCTTGTTTTTTAGTAATATTCCATTAATTGTCATAGTGTTACCTTCAGCAGAATGGAAGATCATTCATTCTAGACCAAAAAATACACCTTACATCTTCGAAACTGCAATGAGATATGCGGACTTTTAAAGAAAATTGAATTCTCATTTTGATATAGACGTTTTAAGAGCATATGCCTAACAAGTTTACCAAATACAGATGTTTTTGCTCAGGAGTAATCGGTTCCAAAAAATATAAGTTCGAGATTCATAAATACATTTCTAAAATTTCCCAAGATCATAGCGCTTCAACATTTTGAAAGGTAGTAGCATTAACAATTTTGTAATTTTTGGTAAATGTTTTAGACACCGACATAGTCTAGTTTTAGAAAAATATTACATTTAGTGGAACAGGGTGACCAAGGACACCAATGGCGGTGGTGCATTCAACATCAACTAAATGCATTTTCCAATGCTTAAAAAGCAACAAAACTGACATAATCTGAAAGAAAATTTAATTTCGATATTTATTGACCATGATTGAAGCCCCACGTCACTGAAATTACTCGACAATTCAGGGTAGAGCATTGGCAGGTCCGGTAGGTTGAACAGCTCAGAACCATGATAATTTCGAAATTGAATGAAAGAGTGTCGGCCTTTGATATTACTTTTTGTCCTTCAATTTTAATTTTTGATTGTGAAAAATTAATTTTGTCCATGAGCAAGCTTTGCGTTTTAAGATATATAATTTTTTAAATGGCGGAGATAGCCAACAATTTATTTTCGTTAATGCTTCACAGGTTCATACATGACGTGCTCTGTGATCATAAATCAAAAATATATTTACAAATCGTAAAACTCATCGAAATTTGTTGCTTAGTTCTCTTTTTTAGACTTAAAAGGTCAGCTGAAAATAGTGGTCAAAATACCTTAGTGTTGTAATTTCGAACCGGTTTTACCTAGTTCTCTATATACCGTGGCGCGGCTGGCGCAAGACTGAATGGGATGGGATGAAAACGATGGATACATCTATCATGCCTCTATCTATCCGTTGATTTTTAGTGGCCTGAGTGTTGTAGAAAGCGATTGCTGAGTACGACCATGTACGACTAAACATTTGGCATTGTATTAGTACCATTCACAAGCTATTACTACAACCTTAAAACTGCGATGAAAACAACGCAGGCTTGACGATAACGGCGCGTGGCGGCGCAGTGAAAATAATAATTGAAAAAAAGTTTCACGTCTTTATTTGCATGATTTTTGAGGCAGTTATATGCTGTTTAAGCTTAGTTGGTGTTTCAAACATATTCTAATCGATTTATAATATTTATAACATTCTTACTAAGCAAACTGCTGAGCTTTAAATCGCTTATATGATGCTTGCTTGAACCAAGGTCAAGGTATGCTTCGTTTTGGACGTGGGCTCAATGTTGATGCACTTTTAAAGGAAGTCATATTAAAGCAAAGTAATATCAATATAAGACCAGAACAAAAAACAGCGTTCATGGAAACAACTTTAAGAGTGTCAACACTTTGGCTTTTGAGTGTTAAAGTACTGCAATTTATACAGCAATGTAGTTCGTTTCAAGGAAACAAGTCAGGATAATTGGCTGTGGCAAGACCACAGAAGCTGTTGAAATTTGGTCTTTTATTTAGGCCAAATGCTACATCAGGTGGAGGCCCACTCAAGCCTTAGAATGATGTATGCGCTTTTAAGCTAAGTTGAAGCACAAATTTTTTTTTTGATATTTTCATAGTCATTTATGCATGCATAGTATTGGTACTGAAGTGCAGGTGCTGGGCAAGATTGATAAAACTAATGTGGAAGGAATATTTAATATAGTGGGGGTGAAATCCGTCTTTTGCACCCTGTGCTCAAAATTGAATAAAAACCACACCATATTGTCACAAACCATGCATCAACCTAGAAAATTGTTCATACAATCATTTAATGCTAAAAAAAAATCAGGTACAATACAAGCAGCAATAAACAAAGTACAGACCTTATCTAATCTGACCTCACCTAACCTTACCTACTAACGTACAACCTACACCTTCAACCTACCAAGTACCAACCAACACCTACCAATCTACAACCTACCAAACTACAACCTACCAACCTACCAAACTACAACCTACCAACCTACAACCTGCCAAGTGCCAACCTACAACCTACCCTACAACCACAGATAACAGTAGTACTGGATTGGAAACAGGATTCCGGTGGCTGCAGTAAGAGGCCGAAAACAGAACCGAATATTTCGTGCCCAGACTTCGATATCTCCTCTCACAGGCAACAAAAAATATTGGTTTATGTGAACTAAACTTATAAAGAAGCAATCTAGCCGTGCTCGTGTTTATTGTTGCATTTTTGCATAATGACAATTTATTTTACTAAACGTTGCTGGTTACACTTTCCTCAACGTGGTGAGGGAACGTATGCCACTGATTTGATTATAATGATTTCTCACTCTCATCCACAGTACTTGTACATGGGAGTTTGATCTCTTTATTTACATGCTAATCGACAACAGTCCTGTCACAACGAACCATCCAAACGTCACAATTCAAACCAACGTCACAAAACACCCCTTCAACTTCGCTTCGCCTGCCCTCCCAATTTCATTAGCGATCTTACTTCCCCGCCTTACATCTTCTTGACCCTGCTGAACTTTGGCCTCTTGTCGCTCCTCGATCGGGTTGCACCAGTGGCTGGGGTGTCTGCTTCCTGACTTTCGATGGACAGCACTGTCTTGAGCGTCCGCCTCACTATTAGTTACCATGTTTCCACACTTTCCAGCAAATAGATTGAAAACCGTCGCATACATCTCTGAAAGCAGGCTCCTAAGGACGTCGTGGCTATCATTGCAAACGACTTCCGGTCAGTTCGACATTCCGGTTTACGACTATCTTCGTCACTTCTGCGTCACTTCTTGGTTGATCGCAGACCAGCAGCTGGTTCCTGTTAGCTTTCATCTTCGGCAGTTGCCTCCAAATCTGGCAGATCCTCACGGTGAGGTCGATGTCTTCCTCGTCTTTCTCCAGTCGTACCTCCAGCGGCGTAGCCCCAAGATAGATCAGTAGGCTGGCGGAGGCACCGTACTTGTTACGCCTGGTGGCCGAGCGTGCCAAGGCGCCGGAGCTGTGTCCCAGGGAGGCCTTGGCGCTGTCATCCAGGTGCTCCATTTCAGCGGATTTCGCCACCGCGGCCACTAGCTCCTGGATGAGAAGAGCACCATCCTGCTGTCACTCCTGCCGTGCTGGTGCCATTCGGGCGGAGGCGTCGGCGGGGCTGAAACGTGACCAGTGACCACCATCTGAGGCCCTTAGTTCTACTTCGGAGTACCGCCTCATTCTCCAGGAACTGTCGGACACTCGACCAGTTGTAGTTGCCACCTGATAGCTGATATTGTCATTCGTGAAGAACGCATCGGTCTGGCCCTTCATAACCTGTTTCTGGTGTGAGTGGCGTGCCGATGCCATGGCTAGTTTCGCTGGCCGCTCGTGCACAGGGGGCATCGCGTAATCCACGCTGGTCAATACTGACAGGACTGCGCCGCTCTTGAGCCGACGGAGTTTCTCTGCATGCCGGTGCGAAATGACCAATCATCTTCGAAATCTTCCTTTCTGAAATGCAGCTCACACACAGCCGAATAGTCCTGATCCCACTCAGCCCGGTCACGGTGACCCATGGCGCCAACCCACTAAGCCCGTAGAGATGTTTCGGTGAGAAAAGCGAATAGGTGGCATGTGAGACATCTGTTTTAATCTCTTGTTCCTCTTGGTTCGTTGGGTTGTAGCCAAAACGGCAGTTTTTTTACCGCTCATCCCCCTCCTCCATTGTTGATGTACCTATACGTATGTAAGGCTTTGCACCTTATTTTTTTTTCAAAAGAAAACACCACGCATTGTGCCCTCTAAATGGTCAAATTAAAAGTGAAATACTTTAATTTTGTAAGCAAGTGAAAGTAACATTGGGGGCTTCGATTTTAAATGTAAACGACAAAACACGAAAATCAAGATTACTAGAACATAGATTACTAGAACAAGATTACTGAACCAATCAAGATTACTAGACGAAAATGACGATTTCTTGCAATACACAACACACAAATTATCCATCCAGCAGCACGCGAGAATCCCATTTTGGCGCCGTCGCATAAAAACATTCGGCCTCTTACTGCAACTGCCAATATTCTGTTTCCAATCCAGTACTACTGTTATCTGTGCTACAACCTAACCTACAACCTGAATCTACTTATATACCACATAGCTTTACCTGACTCAATGAGTGGTTGGGTGTAACTTATAAATGTTTTGTGTAAGAAGTATCATAAGTATCTATGTGTGATCTCACTTTTCTATCTAAGAAGGATGTATTCTTTCTTTTCATGATTTTATTTTGTGAGTTTCTTCAGTTTTAAAAGAGTGCAAAGGAGGGAAATAACCATAGTGGGCTATCTTATCATAGTAACTTGAATTTGTCATTGCTGCTTCCAAGGCCATATAACCTGGCTGCTTTTAGCAACCCAGACTGCAGTGCAAAGCATGGCAACAATGCACAAACTGTAACTGCTCTCAGCTCAGATGCCTCCACATCCTTCACCAGCACACAGTTCACACAAATCAAGTGCAATTCACAAAATCCAACACTGAACCTGAAGTAAAATTATTTCTTCAGATTTTGAAAAGCTGCATTAAAGATGAGCCAGATCAATGCAACAATAAAATCCTAATTATTACCTGGCTGACCAAGGATGTGTGTCTTGCATACATTATGGTCATTTTCATAACAGCAATGAACCATCAAATTAAAAGCAGTGCATGCAGCATGGCACTATGTTGGGCCCATACTGCTCCACCCAAAATGCACACACCACTGCAGTTAATATGCATTGCACAGTGCACCATACACTGGTTGGTGATACATAAGGCTATATTAAATGCCATATTTTGCTGGTTGCCAAGCGCAGACCATATCTACCAGCACTCATGATTCTCATACATCTCATACAAGTATATATAAATGCAATGAAAACCCTAAGCCTCATGCTAATAATTGTATTCAAAATATTTTCTTGGCCCTATTTTGAATACAATTATTAGCATGAGGCTTAGGGATTTCATTGCATTTATATATATAATCATGAGCCTTAAAACCGCGCTTTCTTTCATCATCTCATACAAGCATTGAGTGCCAGAGCAGGTTGAACCAGGGATTTCAAATTTCACCACTGACCACTGGAAGTTTGGTCATGGTGCTCCATGTATAATCTGAGATACCATCCTACGATCTACATGATGTAATATGAGACATGGGACAAAATTCACTCTCTGACAACCTAAAGCAATTGTTTGGGGGCGGGGGGAGGAAAGACTACTGAAGTCTGAAGAGCTTTAGTGAATGGCCTCAGTGTGTAGCAGCCTGGCTGCCATGAACGGTGCCTGCCTTCTATTTGGATGGCTTAGATAGTTCTTTTTTTTTGTTACAGTTTAAACGCAATAGTGGTGATTTTTATTTGAAATAGCGACCATTTTGCTATTCTCTCCCTCTCTGCAGTTGACTGGTTTGAGCGATGTTCGCGCGGCGGCTGGGCCTGCTGTCGGCCGCGCTGCCCCGGCGGCGCTGTCTGCACACGGCCTGCTCCCAGGCGCCGCTGGCCGGTGTCACCGTGGTGGACCTGACGCGCGTGCTGGCCGGCCCGTTCTGCACCATGCTGCTGGCCGACCTGGGCGCTGACGTCATCAAGGTGGAGCTGCCCGGCCGCGGAGACGACACGCGCACCTGGGGACCGCCGTTCGTCGGCGACCAGAGCTGCTACTTCGTCTCCGTCAACCGCAGCAAGCGCAGCGTGGCCGTCAACCTGCGTACCGCAGAGGGCCAGAACATCGTCCGCCAGCTGGCCAAAAAGGCGGACGTCTTTGTCGAGAACTTCCTGCCGGGGAAGATGAAGGAGTTGGGGCTCGATTATCCCCGGCTGCGCGCGTTGAATGACACGCTGGTGTACTGTTCCATCTCGGGTTACGGCGAGGACGGTCCTTACGTCTCGCGGCCCGGCTACGACGTGATCGCTGCCTCGCTGGGAGGTCTACTGCACATCACCGGTGCCGAGGGCGGCGAGCCGAGCAAGGTGGGCGTGGCGATGACCGATCTGGCCACCGGCCTGTACGCCCACGGCGCCATCATGGCCGCGCTCCTGCAGCGCTACAAGGACGGCGAGGGCCAGCACGTGCGCTGCGACCTGCTCTCCTCGCAGGTGTCCTGTCTGGTCAACGTGGCCTCCAACTACCTGAACGGCGGCCAGGAGGCGCGTCGGCTCGGCACCGCCCACGAGAGCATCGTTCCCTACCAGATGTTCCATACGCGCGACGGCCGCATCACCCTGGGCGCCGGCAACGACGCCCAATTCGCCGACCTCTGTGTGCGCCTGTCGCTGCCGCGCCTCCTCGAGGACGAGCGGTTCGCCACGAACGCGCTGCGTGTGCAGCACCGCGCCGAGCTGGTGCCAGTGCTGGAGGCGCGCCTCTCGGAGAGCACCACGGCAGAGTGGCTGGAGGCGCTGGAGGGCGCCGGCTTCCCCTACGGCCCGGTCAACAACATGGAACAGGTGTTCAGCGACCCGCAGGTCAGTGGCCGGGGGACAGAACGGGCCGAGGTCACACTGGGTAATGTAGTGTCTTTTTAGCTACCTCCCTTATAATGCGGTATCTCAGTCAACTAACTATCTTGTGGTATCATTCCGATCCCGTTTCATTTTGATCTCTGCCTTTCTCCCACTAGGACGAGGGATTATTTCACTGGGGCGTGAAATAAGTTTGCATGTGTATTACGTAATGATTGACCATACTGCAGGAACACAAAAGAATGAGCGTACGTTTTTTGTAGACTGAATGCGCTCTTGTGGTGTGCGGGGCCTGATCGGCTGACCCGGAGCCTCCCTCTGCCAGGTGCTGCACAACGGTCTGGTGGAGGAGGTGGAACACCCGACGGCCGGCCGACTGCGGCTGGTCGGCCCGGCCGTCCGCTACAGTAAATCAGAGAACAAGGTGCGTTCCGCGCCGCCGCTGCTCGGCGAGCACACGGATGACGTACTGCGACAGTTCATGTCCCTCGACGACCGGCGGCTGGACGAGCTGCGCCAGCGGGGCGTCATCCAGTGACGAGCTGCGTCAGCGCGGCGTCATCCAGTGACGGTGAGCCGCACCCGGGCGTCATCCAGTGACGGTGAGCCGCACCCGGGCGTCATCCAGTGACGGTGAGCCGCACCCGGGCGTCATCCAGTGACGGTGAGCCGCGCGGGCGTCACCAGTGACGGTCCTGACCTTCAGTCGCCGGGTGGAAAACTGTACCCGCCCGGGGAGGCTGGTTATGCTGACAATGAGTGCAGGTTGTTATTTGTGATATGATCCAGTAGACAGTCTCGCCAGCTTCGTGGAGGACCGAGGGGATGCGCAGCTGATCCGATTCCCTGCCAGGGGACGGTGCTAGGTACAATGGTGCTAAATTCGGTCCCGGTCGGTGCGGTGGTGTGGTGTGCTGTGTGCCTTCGTATGGCTTTATAAGCCTAGCTGATGTGTGAAATGTAATTGGACTTAAGAGCGGTGGCTTTAACTATCCAACTAGTGAGGTCTGAGGAAACTCTGTAGTATAGGTCTCGGGTCCATAATGAACCGGGCTTACTCGCATATTTTCATGCTAGCATCGCAACCACTTAAACGTAAAAAATGGACCCTAGTGTTGCCATTTTCGCAACATAGCTGACTACTGATTGTTTTGATTTTTCTTCCTGACTTAATTAAGGGTCTATATATGCTATTGAAGTCAAAAATTTACATGGAGGATAAGCAATCGTCAGAAAAGAAAAATTTCACGTACGATAAGATTATCGTTGGCATAATTTGAAAATGTAAGTTGCATAACATGGATGCATGTTTCAACCATGTGTTAAAGATATTTCGTAGTTAGTATAAATGCCGTGCTAGTGAAACAGATCAGCTGTTGTCTTTTTTTATTGCTGTAGTTATGAAAAAAATACACGTGATGGCACAAATTCACCACTGAGCTAACAGAAATTAGATGCTAAATGAGATACATTAAGCGAGGGTTAATGTAGTAAGTAGTTCATGAACATGTATGCGCGGGTATAGTCAGAGTATATAGATCACCGGTATAGTATCATTTCAGCTAAAATATATCACCAGTATAACGCCTTTTGGGGCGACTAACGGAGCGAGCGAGAGAGTGGGCCTTGCACGTGCGAAATTGCGAGGGGGTACCTCCAACTAACTTCTGCACGGCACCCTACTAACCGGTCTCTAGCGATTTGTCAAATTTGAGCACAATCGGCCCAGCCGTTATCGAGATCTGGAAGCGACACCCTGCACGTGCGCACGTGCGAAATGGGTCCCAACTGACTTTTGCACGGCACCCTACTAACCGGTCCCTAACCGCGTACCAAATTTGAGCGCAATCGGTCCAGCCGTTCTCGAGATCTGGAATCGACCCCTGCACGTGCGCACGTGCAGCAGCACCCCAACTGTGGCACATGGATATGTATTGCCTAGTGGGTGCCTACCTTCATGCGAAGTTTCAGCGCAATCGGCCCAGTAGTTACCGAGATATTGCAATTATTACAAAACTGACACCACACCTCTTCGTTTTGCACGTGGCACGTGCAGAAGGGCCGGGGTCACCCACGTCCCACATGCATCGGGAATAGTCCAATACTTGGAAGAAGGAATGAAGCTACCCTACAAAAATTACCGCATGTAAATCGGTCAAGTGGTTGCTGAGTATAAGCCTCGCAAAAGCGTCCGCACGGCCGGCCACTCAAGTCATACTCAGAAATTTTCCGAAAAGAAAATTAAGAAAAGACTACGCTTGCTTCGCTCGCTCCGTAACAAGTTCACGTTCGATACATTCCATTGAGTTATGTGACTGCTAGCTATAGGCGAAAACGGTTATGTGACCCTCCAAGGTCACAGAGGTCACCTGAGGTCACCATTTTCGTATTGGCTGATAAAATTACATACGGAGCATACGGAGGTCAGAGATCGACTGGTGGCAGTGGTGTTTTCGTCTCGATCGGCCGAGCCTGAGTTATATGTAGAATAAACTGCAAAAGGCGAAAACGGTAAGCTAACTTTTCGAGGTCACCGCAGATGTCTTCTTTCGCGATTGCTCCGAACCAGTATTTCCATTCGAGAAAGTTATTTTCCCGACGAAAATATGCTTTTCCCATACGATTACATTGCAGGCGCTTGAGCCATTGTACCGATGACGTCACGGTGATCCCAGCTCGGCCAAGGACAATACGATAAATCCACTGAACTCTATAATGTGGAATGCGCATCGGCCGCCAGATGGTGTCCAACGGTGCCGCCATGTTGCGCAGACCAGAAAGCGGCCGCCGCCTGTGTTGGGGAATAGGGAATTCGGGACCTCGATTTACGTTTGCGGTCGCTGCATCCGTTACGTTCAAGCTATGTGGTCACGGAACCCAGCATCGTACGCAGAATTGAGTGGAGAACAAGATGAAATCCTAAAAAATCCTCAGATATAAGGAACTAATACGTTAAACCCCTATAAGTCAATGGGGAAATATGAAAACTGCTATTTTGGCGCCGAGAATGATCTGAAACTATCTCAAGCATATAGAATCATGATTTCATGCACTCCTTGCAAGGTTCTATGCTTCATATTTACATTGTTGCCCTTGCGTGACGTCATTTGTGACGTCACAAGGGTAACAATTTTACTTCAATAACTCCCGATCAAATTGAGCTAGCGAGTCGGGAAAGCCACCAATGGACTGAGGAAGACCTGCCGAATCGAATGATATGCGACATGACCTCTTTCGACCAACTTCGTGACCTGGGGGTGCTGACCTGACCTTGACCTGAGGTCAACACCCTAAGTTGACCTGACCCGAACAAAAAGTATATCATTCGATGCGCCTGAGCTAGCTGAACACGATGATGCCAAAATCGCGGCTCTACGGCCATTTTTGGCGAAGTTATTTACCAAAAACCGAACCCTTGCCTTAGATCACTTGACCTGACCTCAGAGGTCACCAGTTGACCTGAGACCTGTACAGCGGGTTCCTACCAGTCACTTTGCATTATACTTTGCCGCATACGACCACTTTACCGCTTAATTCTAGTTAAATTAGCGGCGCATTAGCGAGGTGGGTTCAATCAACCCCCTCGGCCGGGGCAAATGTAGGTCCGGCGAGTGAATTTAAGGAATTCTGAAGATACGATCGTGTTCCCCATTCAATTCTGCGTAAGATGCCGGGTTCCGTATCTACGTAGCTTGAACGTAACGGATGCGGCGGCCGCAAACGTAAATCGAGGTCCCGAATTCCCTATTCCTCAACACAGGCGGCGGCCGGTTCTTGGTCTGCGCAATATGGCCGCCACCGTTAGACACCACGGCCAATAGGATTGAAGCGGCATTGCTCCCCTGTGGATAAATCCTTGACGAATCTGCGACGTTCATGGCGCGATAGGCGCGATATTTCAAATTGAATTTGTAAACGATAATGATGATATATCTCGGATAATACTTGGATAATAGCATTATAGAGTTCAGTTCAGTGGATAATACATAGTTACCGTGGATAATACAGCCACTGCTGTGGGTGAAAACTGTATTAAAGGGTTTTCTTAAAAACCATTGACATAAGCGACATTAGTTTCATAGAAATTGAAATAATTGACTTATAATATAAAAATATGGGAAACATACATGGTATATGTCAAGTTTAGGTCCTAACTACAATTGTGACGCTGTTGATATAAATATGAAACAGCAAAAATTTTAGGTTTAGGTTAGGTTGTAGGTTTGTAGGTTTTTGGTTGTAGGTAGGTAGGTTTGTAGGTTAGGTTAGGTTAGGGTAGGTTTGTAGGTTCTAGGTTGGTAGGTTATAGGTAAGTAGGTAAGGTTAAGTCAGGTTTTATTATGTTTTTTTCTTTTATTTGCGAGACATATGAGTATCATTTTTGGATTCAGGATGTCAAATAATGTATAAATATGTAAAATTAATCAATGAAATCTTCTTAGGACTTAAACTTGACATTTACCACATACATTAGGTACAGTTGTAAGTGAACACCTGTCTGCTTTTCAGGCGGTGAATTGTGAAATGTGTTGGCTGTATGTTTATTCACCTCATTTAGGACATGAATGGCGCATTCGGAAAGGCACATTCCATGTGGAATTTGTGGAATATTCCATGCGCGGAATATTCCCAGAGATTGGCCATTCAGAGAGATACGCCTCCGAACCGCGGCACTGGGAATATTCCCGGGAACGATGAATATGTCATGCTCTCTGAGCACACCACAAGTAAACCATACAATGATTCTCAAGGCACTTGTTGCAGCTTGCGAAATTGTTTTGTTACAGTTCGAGCTTAAGTTGCGTTTAATAGGCACTCTGCACTTGGCATGTCAATTCAAGTTTGTAAGTTGTCCAGTTTGCAAATTGAAATCAAAATTATGCACAGGTCTTGAAAAACAGGCTACAAATCCTAATTCCCAAACTGTAGATTATCAAATGCTGTCCTGAGTTGTTAAAATAAAAGAAATTGACAAACAATTTCCATAGTAATGGAATGGGTAGGTACTAGTTAGGTACCTATTAAACTTAATTATTTTAATTACCTAAATGATAAATCTGGAGCTTTGTCAGGCATCAGTCAAAACAATATAGGACACTTTAGGACAGGACAGGTAGTTTCCTGGCTAGATAGTGGATTGTGTTAAATGCCACTTCCAGGCATAACAAAGATATTGCTGATCCGGAACAGGTTGCTTTGCCTATATTGCCCGACTAAAGTAGGTTCCTACCTTTTGCCTTGCTGCTTGCGAGGTAGGTATGTAGGTAGGTACCTAGGCATGTATTGATGCTGTGGTTTCTGCTAGGCTAGGTAATACTGGGTAATACCATGTTAGGTTTGCTTCCAGTGGAGGATTCCCGGATGAAAAGTCAAAACGTTAAAAGTAAACGGATAAAAAGTCAAAGGACATTAAGTCAACAGACAGAAAGTCAACATCGCAAGAAGTCAAAGGACAAAATGTCAAATGAACAAAAAGTCAACCTGCCAAAAAGTCAACACGCCAGAAGTCAACAAGCTAAAAGTCAACACGCAAGAAGTCAAAAGACATAATGTCAAATAGACAAAAAGCCG